TGATTGATCGTTGCTTGAGCAATAGCGTCACCGCCTTCGCGTAATGCGACATAACGAGTAGCTTTAGATCTAGTCATTATCAAAAAGTTTAGAAGTCAAAAATCTAAAAATCCGGGTAATCAAGGTTCCCACAAACGATGCCACTGTTCCGTTGCGGAACTAGAATTGGTGGAGGAATATCTAAAAAATAGTGGATCTGAGCTTCTGATGTTGTGGGCGAGGGGTTGACCTACAAAGTTATCACTTTAACACTAAAGTCTGTATGTGAAGAAGAAGAGTGGATGAAAATTGAATTTGAAATTGTGTCTCTGAATTCTTCGCGTCTACCTTTTATATAGTGAGGCGGTTGTAACAACCCGTTATTTGTTAGATGTGTGATGCAGGGAGCCGTTAGATGCGTCTTGATTTTAGATTGTTTGTGCTCATATACATGGTAACTCTCATACGCTGCAAGCCCTCTATATAACTTACTAGTCCCTTTAAATGGTCGAGTGAGGGTCACTCTGTCCACTCGAAACACAAAGTAATTTAATGACTATAATATCATGGTTATGTGATAGTTGCATGTCATGTTATAAAGTTTGTTTTACTAACAAATGGTAATTAAATATTAAATTCAAAATGAATCATCACATGGTTCGAACACACAAACCCCTTAAGCTAAGGTCAAAATGATTGTACATCAATTTGAATGTTGTAACGACATAATCTCTCATCATTTCAAATGTAAAATTTAATTCAAAAGATGTTTAACTTCATCAAGCAACATAAACTTAAAAAATAGAAAAATACACAAAAATTAGGCTTATTATAATACAGTTTTCTCTTATCACGGTTATTCTAAATCATCTTTCACTTTATTAATGTAAGTAAAATGTAAAAAACAGTTATTTTTAAACGATTATGTGTTTGTACCATTCACATTAAGATATTATCATTTATAAGAATTGCATTCAATATTAATAATTGGTGGGTTAAATTTGAACTTAAATGTTAGTCACACCCTTTAAATTTTCAAAGTGTAATTTTCATAGTATCTTCTTTGATATGAGGCTACAACATCTTTCTAACAACCATAAATATCGAACATTATTTTCAATAATGATAAATTATATCATTTGAAAGTTAACACATATGATATCTATCTTACATAATTTTACTTAATAAGTAATTCCTATTTTTTTTAAAATTTTTGTTGTATTGATATATTAAGTGATTCCACTTTTTAGTAACTTCTTAATACAAATTTAATGCATTCTAAATAAATTAACTTGCATAAGCAATTGTCTCATTTCTTAGTTAAATTATATATGTTGATACAATTTTTTTATAAATCTAACAACCAATTAAGAAATGACAAAGCGCAACCCTAAATTATTTTACACATTTTTTTAATATAATAATGTTTTATATCAATGTAGTGAAATGTATTACAGTAATTATTTTTATTTTTATATTGTCTATCAACGAGAGACATGTATTATAATAATTTATATTTTTTAAAAAATTAAAATAATATAAAAAATATAAGAGTTTTGATCGGTTAAATATGTAAAATTGTTATATTATCTTTAAACTCATCGATGTAACTTCTCAAAACAATAAAATAAAATAAAAACATTTCTTTTCAATATTATACAGTTTCGACGGGACAACAACACAAAAAAAACCAAGCCGAACGCACATCGTTATACTACTTCTAATGTGAAAGTTGTAATTAGAAAGTAGCAATCAAATTTTGATTCTCCATGTTACTTTATTCTTTAACTCTCTTACCAATCATACATATACTATACTCTAATAATCCCATGAGTTGGCTTAATTATTTTAATCATGTAGACCATACACAATGTAGTTTGTGCAGAATATATTTATCACCTGTTTTTCCTTTCTCATAAAAGTATATTTTTCATTTAAGCAAAGGATAATAGGAAATGGATGATCTGGAATTTATTCCTTCCATCTCTTTGACCTAATTACAAATCTGAATTATAAATGAGATACCAACCAAGGTTGGTTTCTTCCTCTTAGTTTCCTTATGTGCTGGAATCCAGCAAATCATGTTCTTTTGTCACCCATCCCAAATCTGAAAAACTTACATCTGCGAATTCTATCTTAGCGGAATATCAGATTAAATGTCATCGTTAAAATTTGTCTACTTTTATGAATAAAAATCGATATTATTAGATTAAATGTTACTGTCAAAATTCAAACTTTGATACTCATAATTGTTGATATTATTAGATTGAATGTCACCGTCAAGATTTAAACTCTAACACTCGTAATTACGTGTGTGAATTTTTCGTAGTTATTATCAATTAATTTTTAATATTTTTTATAAATATATGTTTAAAAATAAAAGTGAGGAGAAAGATGATTGATAAGTAAACGTTGCAAGATTTGTTAGGCCCACCCACATGTGAAATGTACTTTGGATGAATATGAAATTTATTCATATTGTACCAATCATCCATCCTGTAGAGGAACCATGATGCAGAACTAGATTTTTGTTTCTGGTACACATAAGATTCCCCTAATCCATTTCTATTATAATGCAGACCATATGTTATATTATATTTATATGTAGTACTATAAAGTAGAGCCAGAACTGACATTTACCTAAACTTTTCTCATTTATAAGGCATAATAAGAGGATGTGACTACTTTTTATCCCCATGAGGTCAGAAATTTATGATTAAATTAAAATAGAAAATTATCATGATTAATTATATGAACATTATCGTTTGAGTCTTGTCATTGGAAGGTAGTGCATTATGAGGTAATTGATTTGTTTGTCGTAAGTGGAGAAATATCAATCTTAGTTTTTGACAAAATGCTTAGCGCATAAAGTTAGTGACTAACTTAGATGAAGATAGTTGGTGGTGGTGGTTCAAGTTTCTTGTAGAAAGGGACTTTTGATATTGAATTAAAGATAAAACTTTACTCTATTGAGGTCAAAACAAAATTTATACAAATAAATAAAAAAAGACAAATTATTTTTTCATAAAGTTAGTTCCACATGCCATGAGACCCCAGTGTTAGTTGGTCTTGTAGCTGTTAAGAGAAAAAAGACATATACTCACTCCAATAATGTAGCCTCTAAGAAAACAACCTAGAATAGTAAAATCATATTTTAACTAGTCTAGTCTACTAGGCCAATTTTCTCTCTTTTTGTCTACGAGTTCAACTCTACCAAATTTTATAAAATTTTAAATTATTTGATATTTCATTGAATACTTTTAATAAACATATAATAAACTTTTAAAAAATGTAACTAAATAATAATAATTAGATTACCTAACTACAAACTTTAAATTTATATAAGATTTAGTATGCTTGATAATAATATATAATGATAAAAATTAAAAATTAAATTAATAAAATTTATTCTTTATAATGACTTCATCTTAGAGATATTTTTTAAATCAACATATTGTCACTCTTAAAGTTATGTTTAAATATGTTTTTAGATGTTTTTGGTATAAATCAGAGTAAATGACGTAGGAAACTGAATTACATCATATTGTCACTCATTTTTTGGGTACAAAATTGAGAAAAATGGACAGAGAGAAAAATGGTTGTTGCTATGTAATTGTCAGTGATATATCAACTAGTGAAAACAGAAGGAAACAAATTTCAAGCAATCAAATAACCAAGTTTTTTCCACTTTTCAGGTTTGACTAAATAGATCAATTGTTCATAAACTTTGGCGAAAGTGAACTTGTCATGCGCGGAAGCCAGAAGTTATGTCATACATTCAAGAAAAATCGAAACATGGCAAACAACACACAAAGAAACTCTGAAAATTAGACAGAATTGGAAAAGCAAAGTTAATAAGATTGAACTTAAGAAGCCTCCCAAGAACACATGATTAGAGTAACCAATAATGATGGCCCTAAACTACATTAGGCAAATGACTGGAGTAAAAAATTTCAAACTTAGTAAATACCAAAATTCTATAATTCGAACAAACGTCCTAAGGCGCACCAACGTGATGTTATCACCATATAACAGAACGACACATTGTGTAATGTATTCCAATAGTCTCTCAATTTAAGTACATCAATTTGTTATCCAAAACTAGAAAAAGAAAGTCAATGTGAACAATTGTAACTTGAACATTAATATGCCTCAAAAACATAAGCATGCTAAGATACTGGTTATGAGCAAATTGATAGTCAAATAAGAAATACACAACTAAGTAAACATGATCTTATTGTGTTCTTTTAAACAGGGTTAACCCAGAAATTAAAGAAACTAGTTTACTTTCATCTAGCATAGAAAAATTAACCTCACATTAAAGTAAGATTAGAATTTTAAACAACTGCCTTACATAAGGCATTTGAGTCTTTTCTATAGAATCAAACAATGTACAACTCAACTCTATAGGACACAGAAAAGACAAGTCTTTCACAATAGAGGCTCCCAAATTTAGAAGAAGAATTCACAATCATATGTGCCAATCAGATATGCTTCTCTTAGTATCTACTGAGGTAATGTACTTCTGCAGAGATAAGTACCAAACTTGCAGCTTTTACAACTCTGCCATGAATACCAATTCAAAACTTCCCAAACGGTAATACTCTGAATTACAATTGCGGTGCAGCCGAATTACCAGACATCCATGGGATAAATCAGCATAGAAGAAGCCTTAAATACCACACAACTACTGATTCAAAGACAGGCATACTCATAATCTCTCCCAAAAGTGACATCATGATTCATGATGAATGTCAATCAACAGAAGCCGATGCAGAATATATAGACCGTGCAACAAACAGGGTAATTGCAGAAGAAGTTTTCTTTTCTATAAGACTCCATAATAGAGCGGCGGAGGTTTTGGATCTGCATAGTTTAACTTGGAATATAGACTCCAATACCATTAGTAACATTAACACCAAGATAACCAATGAGCCTAACACAAATTAACAAGTAAGAACCTGACCAAACATTAAATACACCAGCAATGACCTAACATTATATATAATCATAATCCAAAATCAATCATCTCCAGTTGGAAACAAAGTAAGAACCTTTCTCCCTCCCGACGCATTGGCCGATTCCATATCTTCCACATAACCAGCAACAGGGTTATGATGCATTTGAGCCCCAATCCTATGAAGCTGCTGGTGGTGGTGCTGTTGATGTTGATGCTGTTGCTGATGCTGTCTAGACAAGAATGGATTGTCAAAGTGACCATTCGGGGGGGACCCGAAATGACCGACCGGGCGGTGATACTGAGCAGCAGCAGCAGCAGCCAGTTGTTGCTGATGGTGAATGGCAGGTACAGGAACAAAAGGCATAAAATGATCGGAATTCGGGCGAGCAACGGGGTGAAGAAAATGCGGCGGCACAGGCGAGCTAGCAAATAGATGATCCGTGGCAGGGTCATTGACACCAACAGAGCCCGCACCGGAACCACCGCCACCAGCAGATGAAATCCCCTGCATGCGTTTAAGATAAAGGCGATATTTCTGCAAGTGACTGGCGACGTTTTCTCTGGTTAAACCATCAACACTCATAAGCTGCATTATCGTCTTCGGAACAGCGTTTTTTATTCCGAGGTGTGCCACGGCGTCAACAAAACGTTTATGGAGTTGCGGTGTCCAAACGAGTCGCGGTCTTTTGAGTGTTCTGGCCGGCTCTTCCCCGGCTGTTCCGGAACCGAGTTCGCCGGAATCGGCAAACTCGGTGGAGGAAGGAAGAGAAGAAGGTTGATGTTGGTGCTGTTGATGTTGATTTTGATGAGACTGTTGGTGTTGCGGATTAGCGTTGTTAGTGTTTGTGTTAGTGGTGTGAGGGTTTCTGATATCGAAAGCAATAGCTAGATCAGGAGTGATTAGGGTTTGTGATAACGGCATCAGTTCTTCAGGCGGAGGTAGTTGTTCTTCCCATCGGGAAAACCAATTTGATTCGTCTTCTCTCATTATTGGATTCCCTTTCTGGAATTTGATTCAAGAATTATAGATAGATAGATAGAGAGAGATAATTGGGGATGGGGTTTGGGAGACAACAAGGGGGGTGGAGATAGTCTTGTTGTTGTGTGAGAAAGAGAGAGAACAGAAATTGATTGTGATTGGATTGGAGTCTAGTGGGAGAGTGGAGAGAGGTTCGAGGTGGATCTTGTTTTTTTTTTATTTGCCTTATTACTATGTCATGCTAACATAGAGTTATGGCATGTCTCAAGGTTTAAAATTACACATCACCCATTAACAATGATTTCATATTACTAGTCAAATTTGAATTCACATCTTTTCATATATAACATAACTTTTTACTAACTCACTCAATTTTCCTTCCCTGTGTTTTATGCATATTAATTAAAAATTTTGTGAATTTTTAATATTAAAACAATTTAATGGATATATACCGTTATTATAAACAAAATTTATTAGAACGCACATCATTTATTAGATAACGGTGTAAAATTATTTTATATAGTTGGTATATCTTTCATTTTCTCAAATTTAAATATAAAATAAATATTAATAGATATTAATGATGTGTTATAAGTTGTGTTGCAACCATGGCACTTTAATTAATAATTTTAAGAAAATTATTTTTTTTATTAAAAAAACTTAATTAATTTAAATTAATAAAATATATAAAATAATATAAATTTAAAACTATTATAATTAAAAAAAATATTAAATCTGTAAACAAACTCATAACATCTATATTAATATTATATAAAAGCAAATTCAACTTAAAATAGTAAAGTGTAAAAAGAAAATAATCCATCTATTATAATTATTCGGTCTCTTTTTTATCAATGAAAAAAAAGGAGAAAGGACGGACAATTAAACTATTGGAAATTAAATTTCTTATAGAATCGGTTAAATAAATATTAACTAAAAGAGATGAACAAAAAAAACGCTTTCAATTGTTGAACCAGTGATATTCTTAATTTAGCAAGTCAATTATTACTTTTAAATATCCAAAAAATCATTGTTAATAAAAAATTATTGTTTTTATATATTTAAAAAAAAATTTGATATCACAATTTAAAATAATATAAAGGATTTGCTCAAATTATTAATTTTATTATAATTATTTTTGTTTTTATTTTAAAAATATTTGAATATATTAAATTTGATTAAATAAATAATTAATGACAAATATTTGTTCAATTTATTTTATTTTGTTATTTATATACTCAATAAAATATTTGGATGAAATAGAAAAGTAAAACACTTTTTTATTTAAATACATTTTCAGTTAAAAACGTAACACATTCTTAAATATCTAAAAGATGAGTTAGATGTCTTTTTTTCTTTTCATTATTGATAAATTGTCCTATAATCCTCTCTAAAAATTGTTAGATGTCATAATTTAAAAATAATGTAAAAAGATTTCAATCGTGAATCGTTAACAAATTCTTTCACTTATGTATACATAAAATTCAAATTATTATTTTTTATTTAAAAGAGTTCAAAAAAGTAATAAATTTACTTAATTGATTAGTATTCAATATTTATTTTATGTTTGAATTCGACGTTTCAACGGCTTTTTAAGTGACTTATAATTAGAAAAACAATTTGAATAAATCTAAAGTGCGAATATTTTTTTATTTCATTTTTATTTGATGATGTTAAAAGATATTAATTTTAAGTAATTCTTTGATCATAAATATTTGTTTATGCAGAGGGATTTTCATGCTCTGACGCCTTTCGATAACGGTGGTGACGATTTTTGGCAGATTGGTTATTGAATTTTGGCTGAGATTCTTGTTTTTAATGGCTTAAACTCTTAATCTTATGATTTGAGGCCTTTGAAGGCGTAGAGTTTCAGTGCTTTCTTTGTGTGAGCTCATTTTCTTTTCTTTCTGTTAAGATAGGTCGTGGATGTGAGAGGCCAAAAGTAAAGGTTATATCACCGACGATGCAACCCCTGGTTGCTGAGGGGAGTATAATGGACAAGGTGATGGAGAAAATGAAAGTAATGAAATAAACAAAGTGGTTGAGGAAGAAATCCCCAAAATCTTAGAGGTGAATCTAGAGGACGAAAATGCAACACTCGACGTTGAGATACCAAACAAGAAGTTATGTGTTGATGTCATTAGTGGGAATCGAATCCCAGCTAATGGAACGGCTATCAGCTGCATAGCTCCAAGTATGGTGGAAGGAGAAATTGAAGTAATAATTGAAGTTGAAGATATTGTATCTGAAATTAGGTTTTGGGAAAATACTGTTATCATGTATGTGATGGGGAAAGACCTTAGCATGAATGTCGTCAGGCAATTCATGATCAGGTTTTGGAAATTTTCTCAATTGTCGGAGTTATTCTACCATAATGAAGGATACTTCCTCCTCAAGTTTGGGAGTGATAAAGACAAAGATCTTGTCATGATGAGAGGTCATTACTCTATTCATAACATGCCAATGGTTCTGAAGGAGTGAAGTCTCAATTTTAACTTCAAAAGGGACATGATAAGGACTTTGCATGTGCGGGTAACTCTGACTCACTTACCCATGTATCTTTAGAGTGCTTCTAGCTTAGGGAAAATTGGCAGCGCGATATGGAAGTCTTTATTTTCAAATGAATGTACATCTAGTAAGCTAAGAGTATCTTATACTTGTATCCTTGTTGAGATAGACATTACTCAGAAGCAGAATGACAATATAATTATCATAGATAATGAAGGGAATAAAATGGTGCAACCTATTGAATATGAATGGAAACCTCGATTCTGTGACATATGCCAAAAAATGGCCATGAATGCAATAAGGAAAGGAAGAAACCAGCTAAAGAATGGAAGACCATTCCTAGGAAAGAGGAGATTCAACCACAAGAGGTAAGTCCTCTAAATAACCCTACTAACCATGCCTCATCATCATGGACTCAAGTGACTCATATTAGAAAACTTAAGGGTAAACTAGTGGTGCAACATGACAATCAAAAGGAAATTGTTGGACCTAGTGAAAATAACATACACTGTAAGAATGGTTTTGAGCCTCTTAGGGTTTTGAAGGGCCCTCTTGGGACGAAGGTGTAGGAACATGATTATTAGCTGGAATGTTAGAGGGTTGAACCACTCATGCAAGTGTAACGAGATCGCAACCCATCTCAATAAGCTTGACCTTGATATTGCTATCTTAATTGAAACCAGAGTGAAGTTGTTAACACTGATGGGTTCTTAAAAGCAGTGGAGGAGAGTTGGAATATTCCAATGGAAGAAAATGCAATGTATATTATGTGGCAGAAGCTGAGAAAGCTTCATCATGTTATAAAAGATAAAATTGGGCCTTTCAATGGCATAAAGAGCAAATTGATAAAGCTAGATGACCTTACCAAAGCTCAATAGAACCTTGTGCTTGATAGAATGAATATCACAAAAATTGAAAGAACCAAAGACCTATCTATTGAGATTATCAAGCTGTGCAATATTGAGGAGCAATTTCTTAGGAAAAAGGCCAAAATTCAATGATTGAGACTGGGAGACAACAATAATGCTTTTTATTTGCTTCTCTTAAAAGTAAGCAAAGTCAAAAGTATATGCACTCTATTAAGAGCAATAATGGTGATATATTTTGTGAACAAGCTGATATTGAAAAGGAAGTGTTATATTTTTATGGTAATATTGTTGGCACTACTGTGGATAGGATTAAAAAAATAGACATTGAAGCTATGAGAGAGGGTCCTTAATTAAACTTGGATCAATGTGAGTATCTTAATTCCACTGTTACAGAAAATGAGGTCCTTAAAGCTCTGAAAGGTATAAATGATATTACTGCTCTTGGCATAGATGGTTTTAGGGCTAAGTTCTTTAAGACCACTTGGCACATCATTAGAAGTGATGTAATGAATGTTGTGATGGAGTTCTTTGAAAAGGGGAAACTCTACAAAGCTGTTAACAACACCTTGGTCACTCTTATTCCCAAAAAGGATTCAACTTGTATGATCAAAAATTACAGACCCATATCTTGTTGCACAATTGTTGTTTCTCTGAAATTATGATTGGCATACATTTTGGTAAAACCAACTTGGTAGCAACATGTTGAACAAGATGTTCCAACTTGCAGTTTTCAACATGTCGAATAAGATATCCCAACAAGGAGGATAGGATATCGCGTCTGCAATAGCTGGCAGTTATGTTTCAGCTGATATGTTAGTTACTGAATATTCAGGGAATATTTAGTTAGCGTATGTGGCATTCAAGATTGACAAATCATAGATTCTATGTTGGTTTTTGAAGATATAATTTTTTTATAAATATGGAGATATTTTAGGAAACTAATTATTGAAGACCTATTTTCTTGGAGAAGTTTTTGCAGACTTTGTGCAGCCTCTCTACTGTGTTTTTGAAGCCCAAACCTAGTTGGGAAAAAGGTTATAAATAGAAGTGTTTGTAACCTGGAAGAGTACGGGTCCAAGATGTAGAATCATTAGGGCTTTGTCATTGTGACGCTCTATAGGAGAGTTGGTTTGTGTGATCCACTCGAGTTATGAGTTGGATTGTGTTATAGAGTTGTAATCTTTGTTATTGTTCTTTTCGAAGCTTTTAAGCAAGAGGTAGAATTGTTCTTGGAGGAAGTTGTTAAGCAACTCTAAGTATTGTTCTTGATCAAAGTTGTGAAGCAAGATTAAGTATGTTTTTCTTAATCAAGGGGTGTCTTGATTAAGGTGTGTTTTTGTATTTGAAATGTGATCTTCATTTAGGTGAAAGGTCGTCTGTACAGTAACTGGGATTGAGACTGTTAGACATCATTGTGGTGATTGGAGGTGAGATGAGATGTCTCATATCTAGGAAGGACCTAGGTAGAAGTTGTACAAGGTAGTGATTAAGTGATAAGTTGTAAACTTAGGATTAGATTATCTTTGAATTTATATTGTCTAGTAGGTTTCCTTCCTAGCTTGGTAGCCCCCAGAGTATGTGTTCTTGTACACCGAACTGGGTTAACAATCTTGTGTGTTGTTTTTATTTTCT